CTGCATTGAAGAAGACCTCGCTATGCTCCGTTCGGATGATTGCGACCGCTCGCTCAATCTCAGGTCCAGTGAGAGGATCGAATGGATGAGGATGTGCCCCAAGACCTGTGATATGAGAAGCAGCCTGCTTCAAGCGGTCGAGTGCCATATTGTCGTAGATATCCAGAGGAGGGGAAGCTGGCCTGCAGGCAATCAAGGGATCCAGCGGGGTTTTATAGATAGAACATAGGCATGGCAAGTTAGAGGCGAGGTCTGACAAGAAAGCATGACATAGCTTGACAGGAATACCAAGCTTCTCATCCAATCAATGCTAAGTCGTCTACCAATCAGCCATTACTATATTCCCTACGACGATTTCCACTTGTCAGCTCGCAAGCACCTTGTGTGGTTATCTACGCGATAAGAGACGCGCCGAAGGACTCGCACTCCCGATATGGTTAGCGGACCCCACTTCTCCTCGGTCGCGGGTATTGATGGACGGAGGGAAGATGCATCAAGTGTCAAGTTTAGCCCTCGTTGAGAATTGACGACTCCGTATTTTTGCTTCAGTCGTCGCTAGTGTATGCCTAGAGCGCAGCGATCGAGAAAGATTGGAGAAATTGAGGTTGGGGCGTGTTGGTCTGAAATGGGAAAGTGTAGGCGATCATGTTACACTACTTCGATACCTTATTGAATGTCCAACACCGCAATGAAGCAAGCCATATATTGTACTAGGCACTTTATACCTCAAGGCTTTAGAGTGATTCGACGTTGACAGTGATTTTCTACCGAAGAGAGAGCTCTTCATCTAGTATCCAAAACACCCATTACAAAGCATACGATGTCATGCTACCGCAAAGCGTGATCTGAACACCAAGAACAGAAGACAGCCAAATGAACTGGCCAACAGAAAAAAAGATCATGCAAGAAGCCGCCGTGGTATAGACGAAGCGAACAGGAAAAAAAATACAAAGACATGCGAACGCCGTACAAGTAGCCAGATATATACAAGATTAAAATGTATAAACAGGACATTCCCGTAGGACCAGCCGCTTTTGGATCAGTCGTAATGTCGGATACGTCATAAACGCGTAAAAATCAAGGGCCTTCCAAGGGAGCTGCATATCTCCAACAGAGAGCAAGCAAGTATTTCGTAAACGCGTGGCCAACAGAGAAAGAAAGGCGCCTGCTAATTGACGCCTTGGGGTAGCGGAGCTTGCGCCAAATGTGACTTTAGTGATTGTTGCATCTTGGACGCAAACTTTGCGTCGATGCCTTCTTCGAGAAGACCGATACCACTGTCGTCATGTGTGGGTTCTTGTTGTGAGGTATTCATATCGTACTCAAAGCTGAAGTTCATGTCGTATTGGGATTGTTGAGCAAATCGTCCAGCGTGGACTGATAATCTTGGGTTAGTCAACTACTATCATGGCTACGAGCATATCAAAAGTCTTACCTTCATGTGCTGTTCCTGGATCCATGGCGACATTGCTAGTAGTGGACATGAATGAATGGTCCGGACCAAAGTCAGCCTCCAGACTACTGTACCGACTTTCATTATTGCTACCGCTGCCTCCGTTCGTAAGGCCAGCATTCAGAGGGTCGTCAACAACCGGAGAGTAGGATGGTGAATTCCAGTTTGGTGGTGAATGGCCAAGGAAGCCTCCCAATGATGCTAGCCACTGTGCCATTTCGTCTACAAACACCTTGGTCAACCACCAACCTTGGAAACTGATGCCATTCTCCACCGTGATTTCACGAAGCGCAGCTGATCCAAGGGCACTAATACAATGAAGGACTGTGCGAGCGTGAGCTCCTGGAAAGCGAGATGGTAGCTTCGTTAGAAATGCTGCAATGCGATCTATGACAGACTCCATAGGGTCAGCCGGAGGGTCGGGGTAAGCGGCACGGTGGATGGCTCCTGAAGGTAGCTGGATTTCCTGCGGCAACGGACCCAGCATCGATCGTATCTCTGTTGTCAAGATCTGATAGACCTCTTCATGCCCACATTCACCCGGAAGTTCGTTAGCGATGATGCGCTTGATGTTAACATGCTGCAACCAATCGGCAAACATCTGGGTGCGATGGTTCTCAGCCGTAAGCATGACAGCAGCTGCATGAGCTGTTGAATTGACGCGCAGCATTTGACGTAACAAATGCGCGAACAGAGTTGCTGGTTCTAACTTGGCTTCCAGAACATGATTAGGGAGTGGCAGAAACTTCGTGCTTATGTGTGCATGTAGTGTTTTGGCAACGTTGTCGAGAAAGCGCAGGACCGTGGGGGGCGCGACCTGTAAGGTGAGCTGCGAAACGTTACGGACCATCTTCTGATACATCATCCAGTCACATTCCTTGATCCATGGCGCCAGTTCGGGTGCAGCGAACAACTTTTGCACGGGGACAGTGAGAGTACCGTGGAATGTACCAAACAGACGGAAGAACTGCTTTTCTTTGCAATACCGAACTGCGTCCACTAACGATGTCACATGTGATCGATACATAGCTACCAAATTTTGTGCCGAGTCCGGGTCTGTACGGGCAGGGAGGTAGGGTGCAATGTCCGGCAATTCGATCTCAAGAGCATCCGGGGCTTCTAATACGTTGGGCGTGGGAAACTTAAGTTCGTGTTCATATGATGTTTTCGTGCGGGCACTTGTAGGTCGGAACTGATTCGAATAAATATCGGTGAAAAGAACGCCTCGTGATGAAGCTGGCGTATAGTGGTTGTTGTGTGATTCGCCTCGAGAGTTCCGAGGGGGAAATTGGGCGCTGTCTGCAGGCAGCCGTGGGATGGAAGTGAAGTCAAGCTTCGGCCCCGCGGACTGCTGTCGTTTCATGGCGTGAATAGCTGCGGCACCAGTACTGGGACGGCGGCCTTCGTCTCCATCTCCGCCATCATTGATGAGTTCCAGGTCAACGTAGTGGTACTTGGATTCGCCACGGACGCCCAGACGTCTAGTCTGAATGCCCGGGAAGATGACACGGACAAGCTTTCCGAAGGAGGCTGGGTTCAGAGGGATAACGCGGTCGGTACCGCAGCGCTCTGCGTATTTGGAGTAGACGCGATTTCGTGGAACCGAGGTTTTGGCGGATCTGCAGACGGATTTCAACCTAGATGGAGTTAAGACAGTACGACAACTGGTTTGAGATTCACAAACCACAGCATAGCAAACAGTTGCTTCGACTTTTCCGCCTTGGAGGTCCGGTCGTTTTGGATGACCTCCGCTGCCACCTCCTTCAGGTTTCGTCCTTCATTCTGGTTGAGCAGCTGGCGCAACTCTTTATCGTTTGTGGCGGCTCCGGACGTCGAGTTCTTTTTCTTCTTATCATCCGTCTCCATAGGTGGCGCCATGAAGTGCTGTTGTTGTGACTGCTGTGAAAGAGAGTGGTGGTATGGGTGGGGGTCCATGGCCTGCGCAGGTTGGCCATTGGACTGGGGCTGCTGAGAGGCAGCGTCGGCCTGGTAGCCTAGGTATTGCTGGACGCTCTCGAGCGACATGTTGATGAGTTGATCCTGCGCGCTGACCTGCTGCGCGGCCTGTATGAGCGCAGGTTGCAGCGCTTCGCTGCTGAAGGGCGCATGGTACTGCGGCATCTGCGTAAAAGATGCGGCGCGGGCATGTTGAGGCTGTTGTTGTTGAAACTGCTCGAATGAGTGCACACTGGTAGTCGAGGCACGCGATAGCGGCCGGTTGCTTCTGGTAGACATTGACGTGTTGGACCTGGATCGGCGGATGTCCGTGGTCATTATAGGGCTGCTGGGTGGCCGATTGTCGCTCTGTTTACACCAAAACAAAGGGCTGGCAACCGTGGCACCGAGGCAGCAAGACTATTGCAGGTGGCACAACGCTGGGTCCGTGGGATTTGCCGAGTCACTGCAGATGGATCCTGGGGCTACAGAGTGTGCGATGGCCGTGTGCAGCGTGTTGCATGCAGTTTCTTCGACGGCAGCGCTTGTTTGTTTGGGGTCGAAGTCGGGGCGCTGGGCGCTCTGGACGGGCAAAAGAGAGACAGGGGTTAATAAGATACTCGAAACAAGAATGACAAGACCAACAGCCGTGGTGGGCGAGGCTCAGCGACCTTGAAAGCGGTTTGTTATGTGGAGCTTTGGTGCGTGTTTACGCTTTCGTCTGGAGGCGATCGCACCTGCAGCAACGGGAACCGGCCGGCAAGCACGCACGAGCCCCCGGGTCACCTGACCAACGTCATGCCGATTGATGCATTTCATAGATTCTATCTGGCGAGGGCGCGAATGAGTTATGTACGATTGCGAGCGAGCAGAAGGAGGCAGCATGGCAGAGGAAGGCCATGTATCACAGTGAGCGCAATCACACGCGCGCGTCCAACTACATAGCACAGTGCAGAGTCGTTGGTGAGTGGCATGCAACATGTCTCGCATGGCTGGAGCTGCAGGCCTGCAGCTAGTAGTACCGGTAAGAGATACGGTATGCTTCGCTGGCTGGCTAACTGGCCAACTGGCTGGCCAACTGGCTAACGGGCTGGCTGGCTAACTGGCTGGCTGACCGGCTCGTGAAAGGGCCACTGACGTATTTTAGCGATATGACGCTCCCGCTTGCATCTTCCCACAATCATTCAACCAACAACCTTCTTCTCTGCCTTATCGCTGCTCCGCCAAAACCACTACAACTACCACCTCCAGCACCCTTACGCAGCCCAAGCAGCCCTCTGAATATTGCACGCTCTACCCCCCTTTGGCACCTCTACCATCAATCTACACCATGTCTGTCCAGGAAAGAGCCCAGGCACAGCTCTCGCAGCTTGACAAAGAGGTAAGCTCTGACCGCCTCAAGTGCAGATACCTGTCAAGGCAACCAGGGACCATAGTGTTCTTGTGTCAAGTAGACTGCAAGTCCTTGTGGGAGATTTTCGAGTGCTGATGGTACCATGTTCTACCTAGCTGTCCAAGTACCCCGCCCTCAACAACTTTGAGAAGCAAACCTCCGTTCCCAAGGTGTACGCCGTCCTCGGCCTCGCCGGCCTCTACTTCTTCCTCATCTTCTTCAACATTGCCGGAGAGTTCCTTGTGAACATTGCTGCATTCATCGTCCCTGGTTACTACTCGTTGAATGCCTTGTTCAGCGCCAACAAGGTCGATGACACCCAGGTACGCATCCCAACTCACGACAAATTCTTGTCGATAAGCAACTCAAGATTCTATACTAACGCATTTACAGTGGCTAACAGTACGTACACCCTCCAAACTGCGTAAACTACACAACTCCCTACACTGGACGCTGATTGGCTACATAGTACTGGGTTACTTTTGCTTTCCTTACCGTTTTCGAGAGCGCCGTGAATGCCGTCTACTGGTTCCGTACGTCAAACGAAATCCAACTCCTTAGCACGTTGCTGACAAAGACAGCCTTCTACTACACCTTCAAGTTCGTCCTCATCCTGTGGATGTCCCTTCCCCAGACTGCGTAAGTGCGCCCAACATATCACAAGTAACGTTGTTGACTAACGACTTGCAGTGGTGCACAGGTCGTCTTCCGCTCCTTCCTCCAACCCGTCTTCTCCCGCTACTTCTCCGAGGCTGGCTCGACTGCTGCCAACCTTCGCGCGAAGGTCGACTCTGCTGGCAAGGACCATGCTTCGTAGAGCAGTCACAATAATAGCACCTGTCTAATGGCCACATGACCACAACCAGACAGTCAAGGTCGAAGTTCCGCCCCAAAGATTACCTGGAGATAGGCCTACAAGTCAAATTCTCTTGCGCAGGGGGCAAACTTACTGCGGCATGTGGCTGTGCGGCTTGGAGACGCTGTATGAAGTAAGAAACACGAATGATGGACAGTGAACACAAGCAGTAGCATGGTGATGGGAAGACTTTAGTACGCGGATGTCTTGTTGGCAAGCGTCCTTGGGAATGTGTTGGGTAACGTAGAATTTTCGCTAGGCCCTGAAATCGTGCAGGTTGGTAGCGAAAACAGCGGTTTTGTATATCTGGTCCGAATTTGCATGCATTTCCAATCACAGATATCCTGATCCCATGATGCCCGCCGGAACTATCGACCTAATGCACCTCGTTTTACCGTGGCCAAGAACCGTAACGCACCATGAGATCGTCTTGCATCCCAATGTCCTTGTAATGGGGAATGGTTCCATATCTTCGTTCAAATAATGTATTTCCATGCATGCGAGTCTATAAGAAGTATAATCTCATTTTTGAAAATTTGTACACCTGGATAGCTAGCATGCGGGAGACTGCATGGCTAGACTTGGACATTCGTATGCAGCGTGACGAGGCACAATTGCGCTTTCTGCGGATGCTAATGGGTGGGCTCAGTCACCTAGCTGTTGGTACTTCTTTCTTTCTGTGACTAGTAAGTTAGTCCCAGCGAGAAATCCGTCGAAATTTGGTCGTGATGGTCTGGCAAATTAAAAATGTTTGGTTGTATTGCTAGATGAGGTCATGGGCAATCCTAGACTTGACCTCCCTCCAAACAAAACTTCCCCCATTTTGTACACCTAAAGCATTCCATTTCAGCCTTGCTTCTTCCACCGAAATCGAGGAAATGTTCCTCCCGTCCCAAAGAGGGACCAGATCAAGGAAACCATTCAATTTTCTCCATTTGCCAAAGGAATTACGACTTGATATATACGACTGCTTACTTGAGAGAGAGCACCAGGATAGGTCGAACACAATCGGCGGCGAGTCCGCAAAAGTGACTTTTGTGCTTTCAAGTCCGATCCCGCCAATCCACCTCACATGTAAGCAACTCTACGATGAGGTAACAGCATACCTGCGACCCAAAATCTCAGGCATGGCAGAACATCCAAGTACGCCGTGCCTCATTGTACATGAAAGCCCTTCGCGCCCTCTGGTACGTCTCGTCAACGAAGTTTTCCTTCAGCTCGCCTGGGCACAAATACTCAAGACCTTACCGGATGTGAATGAGGGTGGGAGATCCCTCAAACGAGCGGCCCAGGATACCCCCGAAGACGAGGTCAACTCCATCACCGTGTGCCGCTCGAATGGATCCTTCTCGAGCTTTTTAACGGACTTGAATACATCATATCTAATGAAGATAACACGACACATGGACCACCCAAGCTATCGCATGAGAATGGGGTTCCCGACTTCAGGGCAACTCCATGCTCATACACCGCCTCTATCTCACACGTTAAATATCACAGAAGAGTCAACTAGAGAGCCCAGACAGACACTACATGTTGCCATTTCGGGTAAACACGACGACTTCGACTTATCCGAGTTTCTTCCCATGCTGGGTATTAGCTGTGCCACTCACTGTCGCCCTGCAGTGGTCTATATCGCTCGTCCGGATAATTTGGCTTCTGTGATGACCAAGAATCTTAGTAGGTGGCTGGACTTCAAGGGCGAGGTTGGTGCAAAGGTATGATGGGAGGGGGCTGAGCTATGAGAGGGGATTGTCTTGATGCAGATACCTGCTAGGTATAACCATCCTCAGATCATTGACGTCTACAAGAACCAATCAGAGATGGGGTTAGAGTGGACGATCAGGTGAAAGCTTCGGTGGTGGATCTGTTATCCGCAAAAGGCCATGGACCTCGGCCCAATCGCGGGTAACTGTGGGCACCTCACCAGTGTCACCAGCAGCCTTCCAACGCCTTGCACGACTGTATTCTTGCGCTGGGACATGTAGTCATAGTTCTCCGTCCTCTACCATCGCTCTATTTTTTGACCAGACTCCTGCTTTTGTGTAATCATCTATCATTGACCACTGCCTTGCAATTGGCCGCTCGGTGACGTTGGGTTTGTTGGCAGACTCGACGACGACCCGCCCTTGGCCATACGCGACTTCAGCTAGGTAGGCGTTACAGGCCGACGGCTTGCACGACCACGGCCACGATGATACAGGGGACACGTTGCTGGCTGAAGCGCAATCGCACCAACTTTGCCATCGGGGCTGGGGTACTGGGCGCGGGTTATCTGGCGGGGCAGTATGTCTTGGGGAAGCTCGGGGAGGCGCGACAACGCATGAGTGATGATCGCATTGCAAAGGAGAAGTAGACAGCCCTTGACCCGTATGAAAGCTTATCAAGAGCCTTCTCCTGACTGTTAGTCTAGTCTACGCCGTCGATTCGAGCAGAACCAGGAGGACTGCACATTCACCGTCCTCGCTATCTTGCCCACAGCGACCGAGAACATCCTCGAGGCGATACCGGTCGAACAAGTGCTAGAGGAACTGCAGAAGCAAAAGGCTGAACGACTCTCACGAAGCGTAGGGACAAGCGAGATTGCGAGCTCAGCACCGCCTAGTGTGGCAGACACGCCGAGCATCGCAGACACAAACGAGGATGACACGCACAGCTCGAGTCTACAGACAGACAGCTTCGTTCACGCGAGCCAGGTGGTCACTGATGGTGACAGTGGGGCTGGACCCGTTGAGAGCGCCCAAGGGTCTGGCGAGGGGAAGAAGAGCAAGAAGAGCAAGGCGCAACTTTGGAATGAGATGAAGATCAGCTGTACCTATTCTCCTTGCTATTATCTGGTAACTTACTAACTCGACCAGCGATAACACGAGCCTTTACCCTCATCTACACCATTTCTCTTCTCACACTGCTCACCCGCATTCAACTGAACCTCCTCGGCCGCCGCAACTACCTCGCCTCAGTCGTTTCTCTTGCTGCACCCCAGTCTACCACGGAAGCCTCACGCATCAACCTCGAAAACAACGACGATGACAATTTTGACCAAGCGTATGGCAACGACTTCGAGACTAATCGACGCTATTTGAGTCTGAGCTGGTGGCTTTTACACAAGGGATGTATAGATCTGATTGGCAAAGTACGGGTTGCAGTCAAGGAGGTCTTTGGCATGCTGAACCCGCGCGAAGAGATCACCATTGAGAAGCTGTCTGAGCTCACTCTGGAAGTTCGAAAGAAAATCGAGGGCGCCACAGAAGAGGAGAGGAGGCATGTTCCCCATCACAAACCCATGAGCAACCACTAACAATTCACAGGACGTGCAAATGGCTCTCTTTCCTATTACCGCCACAAGATCAAGAAGACTACGTCCTACGCGAATCAGGCATGACTTCATCTTCCGAATCGACTTCACCCACCACTGCAACATCTCTCCGCCGCCTTATAGACGAGACATCCGACCTCATCGACTCCCCCGCCTTCACCCACGTCCTCACTCTCATTCTTGACGCCGCCTTCTCCCACCTCGTTGATACAAAGATCTCCCAACTATCCTACAAAATCCCACCAATTTCAGATAACCACGCCCGCGTTCAGGAGATTGTCGGCGGTGATGTCAAAGCAAAGGTAGCCAATAGCTTGGCAGTCTTCTGTAGACAGGCCCACAACATTGGCAGTGGCGCAAACAACGAGTACCTAGCCGCCATTGAGCAGGTCAGGGATCTCGAGGCATTTGCAGCCGTGGTTTACTCCAGCAACTTTGAGTTTGAGAGTCCGGAGATTGCGGCGCCCGACAGGCCAGGCACCGCGACTGCACCATCTCCATTGAAGCCGCAGTCGACGAGTCTGGTACCAGAGAATGAATTCGAGAATGTGACGATCAAGTCGGCACAGTCTGCTGAAGCCGAGTTTGAGAGTGCGTGGGGCAAAGCATTGGCAAAGGAGGACGGGCAGCAGCATTGAAGCAAGTGAATGATGTTGAATGCATGATTAGAATTTGGAGTGGGCACGGCGCTATACAGGAGCTTCGTAATGATACCCGCCATTCGGACATGTAATGCCACAATCTATAATGTCGGTATTAACAACTACCTTCCTCACCCACTTCTTCTGATGGAGATCTAATCGTCGTTCCGAGACCGTGGATCCAATCATTCCGGTTTCGGAACGCTACTAGTCGTGACGTCACGCGTCGACATTGTTGGGAGGTGCGAAGTATCTCAAAAGTCCTTATAATACATTAATCGACAAACACAACGAAGCTCCCGTCCGTCGACCAATCCTCCCATCGTCCAAGTTTGGAGCCTATTGTTGCGTCAGCGTGAGCGATATCCAGAGCAGCATCAACTTCCACCCCTGCCTATCATGGCAACCCAACAGAATGGCAGTACAATAACGGCAAGAAAAAATGCGTATGTCACATTACTAACACGCCCTTCCTACCTCGCTGGTGCAATCCTCCTCGCCTATACACTACACAAGCACTCCCCGGACACACCACTCATCATCACCTATACGCCCGACACTCTGCCCGAAACCTCAGTCAACGCCTTCAAACGCGAAGCCGCCCACTCAAACATAGTACTCTACCCCGTGTCTCATCTCCGCCTTCCAGAAGATGGGACAGAATCCGGCATGGTCGCCGAGCGCTTCATCGACACATGGGCCAAACTCCGGGTCCTAGACTTGCACGAGATGGAGCAGAAGTTTGAGAGAATTTGTTGGCTAGATGCTGATATGATGATTTTTTCTGATCCGAGTCCGCTTGTGTTTAGTGAGGCGAATGATGAGTATCTCAAGGGTGGGGATGGCATGCGGGTCATGGCGGTACATACTTGTGTGTGCAACCTCGATCATGACTCCTGGGCTCCTGACGACTGGAAACCAGAGAACTGTGCAATGACGAGACCCACAGCGCCCGACCAACTTGCCACGGTAGCGCCACAGCCAGCGACCCTCGGCAACTTCAACAGTGGAACTTTCGTGTACCGTCCCTCTGCCGCCCTCTCGCGGTTCGTAAAAGCCAAATTCGAGGAACTGGGCAACAAAAAGCTCCGAGCGATGAAGTTCCCAGATCAGGACTTCCTAAACGAAGCCTTTGATGGACGCTGGAGCAGTCTGAGCTGGAAAACCAACGCGCTGAAGACATGGCGGTATTGGCATACTAATATCTGGCGCGACGACCAGGTCGCAGTACTCCACTACATTGTCGACAAGCCGTGGGCGGCGCGCGTCAGCGAGGATGGCACAGCGGGGTATCTGGGGAAAGACGGGGAAACGCACAAGTGGTGGTGGGACGAATATGCAAGGTGGGAGGCAGAAAGAAGGCAGCAGGGAGAGACGGTCTTGCTGGAAACATTGGGCATGTATGTGGCGGGTGGACGAGGCGAGAAGGAAATGCAAGCAATTGGCGGCGGAGCACAGGATTTTGCAAAGAAGTGGCCTGCTAAGTCGCCTGAGACTCAGCATGGGACGCAAGAAGCAAGAGGAGAAGGAGCAAAGGAACCGAGTGAAGATCCATTGAATTCAAGATATCACGGCCCAGTGTTGAGGAAGAAGATGTTGGGCGAGAGGGGCCACGGAGCAGTCGTCAATGGCCGGTGAATAAGTTAGTAGGCATAGCAATGGCAGTCTTCGCCTAAGATGACCCCATCAGACCTATTTATATGATACATCAGTATCCGCATGCAAAAGGTACTCCATTCCATGGAACTTTGCAGTACTCACACGACTCAAAACCTTCACAATGCCACGACGAGCGAAAATACACAATCACGCATTTCAAACATATGCCCAGTTGATCACTTGCGTGCCGTTGCTTGCGACTGTGGTGGGTAATGCCGTGAGCACTGGTATGCGAGCACCATGTGAATGTAGGGGTACAAGCTAGGCAATGCACAAAAGTTGGATAGAGCGTGTGAGGAAAATTGTTATTGTATTGTAGAAAAATCGTGGTTGTATTCCAGAAAAACCATTACTATAATCCGAAAGAACCAATATTGTATTCTAGAAAACCATTCTCGTATTCCGGCAAAAACGATGATGTATTCCAGAACAACCATTAAAGTATTCCAGAAGGACCATCATTGTCATCCAGAAAAACCAGCATCGTATCCCGGAAAGACCATTATTGTAATCCAGGAAACCTATCATCGTGTTCCGGAAAACCCATGATATATCCAGGAGGACATCCATCTGAATACCTGCTCTCTCCCCATACCTTCCTCCCAAGACTCCGTCCGTCGCTCACTACCCAACCCCCAAAATCCTTTTCACTTTATTCATGCCAGCCACCTGCATACCAACCAAGGCATCCTAGTAAAACTCCAGCAGGTCCGGCCCGACATCTGCAAACTGCCCTGTCTTACCCGCAGGCGGATCCTCACGCCGGGACTCCATGGCCGCTGCTGCAGCGCGATTCGCGAGAATGTAGGAGCCGTTGTGCATGGGTGTTTCACCGCGGAGTTCAGCTGCGAGGGTGGGGCGAGCGGCAGGGATCCTGTGGGGAGAGAGAGGCGTTAGCTAGTGTGCGTGGTGTGTGGCGAAGGAGGGTTTGGGGTGGTTGTGGTTGTTTGTGAGGAAGGGAGAGGGGGTGGAGGGTGAGGTGCGGACTTACTTTCGAGGACGCTCACGGTTTAGGGAGGCAGGGAGGGGAGAAGGAGGGGTAGGTACTGGATGGGTGGGAGGGGTGGCGTTATGATTGTCGTTATGAACGTTTGAAATGGGAATGAGGTTCGCGGGGGGCGTTGCTTTGTTGACGGCGGCGGCGATGGTAGGGACAGGCTGGGATATGATCCTGTAGGATCCGTTGGCACCATTAGATACGCCGATACCATTACCATTGGGCTTGGTCTCTGCTCCGCTATTGATGACACTGGTGGTGGCTTCGCCATGTGCTGTACCGCTCTGTCTAATGACCGTCGCCGTCATCGCGCCCATCTGACCCATTTGCACGCCACGAGCAACCAGATTTCCAGGGTGCCCGGTATCGAACAAGAAAGCCAGCTCCGGATCGTTCAGCGGAATGCGGCCGTGAAGAGCGTTGTCCAGAGCTATCTGTTGTCGGTGGTAGGCGGCATAGCCCTCGATCGAGCCATCCCTCTGCTCAACGATGGGCGCAGCAATCTTCGCGGCCTCTTGACCAGCCACCTTGCCGGCAACAAAACCGCGATTGTACTCGCGTTCGGTAATGTCGCTGGCATTCGCAACTGCCTGCGTAGCTTCGTAGAATTCGGCCTCCAGGGCTGCGCGGGTGGCTATCTTGTACTGCTGCTCGCGAATCTCTTGGACGATTTCACGCTGGCGGACCCGATCAGAACGCATCTTGAGCTTGCCATGGGCGTTGGCTAATCGTCTATTAGCAGCCAGCTCCTCCTCGCGCTTGATCAACTCGCGGTCCACGACATTCATAGATCGAGAAGATTCTCGATGAAAATTCCCAAGATTTTCGTGCATCTGCCTTTGTCCTTCAGCCAAGTACACCTCCATCTGTGAGATCTGTTTGCGCCGATGCTCCAGGTCACGCTCCTGAGCTTCAGCCCTCGCATTGCTCGCCAGAGCTTCTTCCTGGGCGTGAATAAGGTTGGTCAGGAGGCTCGACATGGCAGCATCGCTCTTGCGCCGCTGCTCCAACTCGATGCTCTTGCGCATGTTCGCGCTGCTTCTACGTTCTGCGTCAAGTACATTCTTTAATGACATGACTTGTGCATGTAGACGAGCGACCTGCTCACTATCACCGGCATCATAGCGAGGAAACGATTGCTGAATTTGGAGCTGCCGAGGTTGGCGGGGACGTAACTCAAAGTCCTGGATGCGCTGATTGTGCGGCGAGACTGGTGTGGAGCTTGAGTGCTGTAAAATGTCAGATGTGCTCGAGTGGAGAAATTCCACATACAATTACCTTAGAGCTTTGTAGACCATGCATTTGCTGCATAGGCTTTTGATAAGCGGGCCGAAGATGAGGGGGTACACTGCCACTTGAAGAGGGCAATGCTGGCGTCTTAGCCGACTTCTCTGGGACGATGCTTGGGGAGATAGCACCGGTTTGTGGAGGTAGTGACTTGTCTTGAAGGCCTTGCTGCGCGTTGACTGTCGCATTATCATGTCGCTCTTCACACCCGGCCGTTGATGGTTCGATCGGAAATTCGGACGTAGCAAGTGGAGCTATATCAGCAACGATCGAATTCTTCAAGACCGGCTCCTCTGTTGACGTGAGCATCGACTTATCAGTAGCCAGCTCAACAATCCTGTCAAGTGTCTGAACATTACCGAGCTTGCAATTCAGGCCAACGGCATCTTTGCCTTTGGAACCTGCGGTCTCGAAATCGTTGCTAGGTACCAGCAGCTCGTCTGACTCGACGCCCTCGTCACCTTCAAGAACCTTCTTGTTGGCACTGACGAGAGCCTCACTGGCAGAAACGTTCTCCAAGACGCTGTCGTTGTTGTTGGGCTCCATCTCGTTCTTTGCCAGGGCACAGAAAGTGGTAGAAGCTGTGTTGTATTATGACGGCGTATTCGTGAAGTAACAGGATATGAATCGAAGCTTTCGGCGCGCCCGTATAATAACGGACAACAAACAATAGATGCTCTTGGTCTGCCTACCTGTTGGTCCACAATATCCTCTCGATAATGATATCAGAATTGGGTAAGCACTTACGAGGTAGTACTGTAAATGAACTCAGTATTTTGTTGTGAGGTAGAGTGGAGAGTGGATAGTCGGGGTGTGTGCAAAAGGTGAGCTGGCTCGCTCTATATACAGGTGAAAGCTGGGTCCGCCCGTCAAAGTGGGGCCGGCCTCTCACCGTTGTGACTGAGAGACGGATTCACGGCTGATCAAGCTCTGGGGATAGGGAGTCGGTAAAACAAATGATTGGTCGACACTGCGCGTTCAAAGGCGACAACACCTTAAGAGTGAGCCTGATAGAGCCAGAGTCAAACGGGACGCACATGAGCAAAGTAAGTGAGCCAGGACCATGTATATGCCGAAGACTGCAGGTGGCGACTATCTCTCTTGATAGGCTTTCCTTTGCTGCGTAAGACACCACCTGATCTTGAGCAAACAGAATATGAGCCAGGCCGCCAGTTCAGGTGAAGTAAGACTTGGTCCTGCCGATCGAAAAAGTCCAAATGATGTCACAGGATCCTCCTTTTGTTTACCCAGACACCGCAGCTAGCTTATGTGAGGGGCACATTTAGCCTTGCTATCAAGATATTGTTGTCTATTTTTGTGCGCTCCAAAATTATAGCGTTTCGCGAACAATGACAAATTGAACGCCAGCATCGCTAAAAAGACATCGAAGCTCTGAAGCATGAAATTCGAGAAAGTCATGTACAGCAACATACTTAAGTCGCGGCAAAGCTGTTGGACAATCTTCGGCCAGGTGACGTAGATTCCTGGTTCTATCATCATGGCAGCCAAATTCGAATAGACCATCCTCATATCGCAGAATCGTCAAACTCTCTAGACTGACGGGTAATAGATCGGCAATTCGACCTTCCCAAGTATAATGATCGTCCGAAGTGAATCTCTCGCAAATAGTCAAGCTTTGAAGATTGATAAAGGCACGGAATGAGTTGAAGAGGCGCTTGGGCGGCCTGGGAAGGTCAAGGCGTACTTCTCGCAAGTCGAGACGCAAAGTTTCCAATGTTTCCGCATGATTCAGCAGGCCTGGGACGAGCCCGAACGGAGGCTCAGTCATGCAATCGAGATACGACCATTCGCAGGTGACGTGTCGCAAGCCCTCGCAAGCGCGCCACAGGTCAACCACTTCCTCAATTTTGAGGAAACATTTGGTAATATCAAGTCTCCGCAATTGTTTAAAAGGAACAAATGATGTTGCCGATGCGGCAGACGGGTCGTCGTCTGACTCAATGCCGCAAACCTGCACCTCCTTGAGCAGAGGTGCAGATTTCATGGTCAAAACGATGCGGGCATACCAATCGTTCCTAGTGTTGTGTCTGTAACTCGATGTATTGACCTGAAAACACAGGGTCTCAAGCTTGCTGAAGCTTACGTGTGAGACCCCTGCATGCTCAATCGCTGGGTCGACGGCTAGGGCAGGGGGAAGGATGAATTGCCAGAAAGACATGTCCTCAGTGTCGAGGCTTACCACGCACAAATGCTGTAAGTTTGGTGCAAGCTTTACTATCTCTGCCAGTAGATAAAAGTAACGTGCAATCATTTGTATGGTGTCATATTCTTCAGTTTCGTCGTATAGATTGTTGCCCAGATGGTCGGAGAAACGGTTCTCGATGTACCGAACATACTTGGAGAATGGAGATCTATGCTCCCCGAGATGAACTTCAGTAGAGATTGTTCGATGAAACAATGTAAGGTGCTCCATCCCCTTCCAGGTCGAAGTACTGGTAAATGACGCGTACAGTACAGGCGTAGCTATCCGTCTCAAGCGGCGAGAAGTCAGACAAAGTGAATGTAATGCGAGCCGTCTTTCTTGATTGATTGATTGCCTTTTTCTCTCTTCTTTCAACTTGCTCATCGCGATAGCTTGTGGTTCGGAGGCGCGAAGGCTATCGAGGTGACGCATGATCTCCAGAAGAAGCTCATCGGGCAGCTGGAGCAGGCTCATACATGGTGGCATTTTTTCATCATCCATCATTCATGAATATTATCTCGCGAAAGTCGTTTTCTCGTGCCTTGATAAGGGAGCTGTGGAGTGTTCACAGGTGGAAAGCGGAGCCGAGAGAACAGCTCCAGTCGCGGAGACTTTGCTTAGTTTGGCGCTAATCTCGAAACAGCCTAGTTCATCCCATTGGAATGGCTATAGAAGAGTACATGCATGATCTGTACATCGACGACGATCGAACATGAAACGAGTTGGATATCATTGAAAAACAAAAAGAATCATCGCTCATACAATCCGCTGTACTTTGCCCGTCGTTACATCGTAAATCCAGCCTGAGATGGTGATACCACTCTCAATCGCCTTGCTTTGCAGCCATGCTACATCTTTCTTGACCTCTAGCTCCAGGCTTGTAAATGTAAGGAAATCGAGATCCGCAACCTCCTTCGCAGCAGCTGCGCCTTTTTGTATCCTCACAACGTCCCGCGCTGATTCGTTTTCGAATGATAACATGCCACACCCGGTGTGCTTGACCAGCAGCACTTCCGTGGTCCCGAGAAGTTGTTGTGAGATGACAAGAGATCGGAAAGCCTCGCGAGCAGATGCACCTGCATTTCGGATGACATGGGCTGCGCCGAGAGGGATGCCAAAGGCGGCCGCGGGATCGATGCGGGCATCCATGCAAGTCACTGAGTAGGGAAATGTTAGTATCAACAAACAACCTCAGCTGTCATCATACGATTTTCACATACGGATTGCATATTTTTGGCTGGGCGGCAGGGCGAGATGACCCTGCGTAAAGCATGCAGCATATTCTTCGTTACCCTCTTCGAGGTTTTGTTGCCCGATCGGCCTGGTAGTTGGTGTTCGAGGAGTAGGCCACATAGTTCAGGTAGTCTTTTTAGTATGCAGAATCGAATACACTGGGGAAAGTGTACCTTTTAAATATGCCATGTTGAAGGATAATCCTCGCACACTCTTTTTCTACACAGTATGGCAAAGCCATTGATGGTGATGGCGGAATTGCGGGGCGGAATGGCGCAATACTGTGGGAGAAAGCCCGAGACTCGCCGGTCCGCTTGTTACTCCATGAAGCGCTAACAGAGTACAGAACCTTACCATTCCCAATGTGAATCTGAACCGCGGGGAAGGACGGAATCAACCGTGAAACTCTCAACAGGAGATCACGTGGGTTCTGCCCCACTGGAGACTTCCAGGTCTTAAGTACGTACGGAGCGATTGATTGCTAAGCTGATCTTCCATCTCTTCAAGCGTGTGCCAACTCCATGCGATCCAAGCAGTTCACGGGCAATCTCAGTAACATTGGCGAGACATGGAAATCCCTCAAAAAGCCTGCTTCCGATTTGCCCGATGACACAGCACGCGCATCTACCTTAGGTATCCATCATTGAGAGTATTGCACATTCACGCATCCAACACTGAAACAGGCCTAGCTCTTGATACCTGTCTCAGCAAAAGATTATAACAGGACCCAATACCGCAGAATCAAGCAATGTCGTAACTCTCAAAACGTAACCTCTTAGGAACCTGCGGATAGATTTATCAGAAGAACGCTTCACAACTCGTCCAAGAACTACTCTTTATCCGTCTTCCCCAAAAGCGGAATTAAAGCAGGTGGAGAGTAGCACCTTGGGCGTATCTAGGTATGTTTCGTTAATGCGGGGAAAGTTCTGAATGTAAAGAATGTTATTGACTACTTTAGGGCTTATGAGACATCGAATTTAGCAAAGATAAGTCCCAAGACGCTAGGATGAGTAGCAACCAGTGTAAACCCGCTCACATACGAACAGTGGGTGCGTACATTGTTCAACTTCGTTACCGCCGCAGTGACAAATGAAAAGCACGAGCGCTATGCTCTCGTTCCCTCCCTCCTCCGGCATAGATGCCGGCCCAATCCCTGCCTTAAGGCAAGATTGTGTCCCACTCACAGAAGCGTAGGAAGTAAAACTCCAGCGCAGCAGCCGCGTAGCTCTCGGCATTCTCAGTTGTGGGCGTAGTAGGCTTGTATTGGCTGTTGTCGGCGTTGTAGGCATCCCATAGGCGCTTCAGCTCCCTTGCGGCTTGCCACGGCTCCATGCCGTCGTAGTGCTTGCGATCGTCATCGCCTCCCTTGACATAGACGTCGACAGTGCCAGCCGAGTCATAACCATCCGGATCAGGTCTTGCAGTTAATCCTGCCCTCTGCCCAACATCGTGCAGATGCGTCATTTCATGGAAGATCGTAAGGCCGGCGACTTCAAAGAAAGGGAACTTTTCGCCTGTCTGGCACCACTGGCCGCGCCGTGTCCCAATTTTCTTGGTGTCAAGGTCTTGCTTGGTTTGTACGGTGTTTGCGTTAAAGAAGCGGTCGCATAGCACCATCTACTAACGTCAGAGATAAGACAAACTCATTTTACGATCTTAAACATACCGTTGACTCTCCAGGCTTTGGACTCGTAGCCGCAAGGACTGAAGTACCGCAATTCGGGTCTTGATCTGAACCACATGCGATGTCAATCCAGTATCCTTGTCCGCCATCATTGTCGTCGACGGGAAGGCGGCTATTATAAATAACCTGGTTCATCCGCTTGACTTGATCTTTGTCTCCATCTCCAAAGTAATGAGAAAATGCGGTACTCTCAGTAAAGGCATTTCCATTAGAGTCCTTGCCATCTTGTGTAGTTGATGCCAACTGAGAGGCATCAGTGAAGGCTTTCTGGGCTTTCTCCTTATAGGTGATGTCTCTATTAGGGATCTTCCGGTCACAACTTGTGGCGTAACGAGCTCCGCGGGCAAACAGTCGATGTACGCTGTCCTTGGAGTCGTCGAACGGGAGTGCTGTGACAACTGTAACTCCGGCCAGGAGGACGACAGAATTCTTGGTGAAGTGCATTGCGATGAAGGCTTTCTTATTGCTGGTGGGCGATTGAAATAATGTGGATGAGATGCAAGCTTCTGGTTTGATGATACAAAAGAGATGTGAGATGAGGTTCATAGTCGTTCTTAATGGACCTTCTTATACATCTTGAACGTCCTGAACGCACTGATCCTACCTAGAGACCGTGTGTAGTGAGGCGTCCTTCCACTGAACATCTGCGTAGGATCGTGAGGAACAACATCCAACGCGACTACGTACATTTGGCATGGAGGCGAGGATTTACGTCGGTGTCCGAATCAACTGGATACCCACGAAGATGTTACCTTCACATGGATGCGGCTCACGATCACATGGATTGTCGCTGCTTAGTGGCTGACAGTTGCGAAATAGCTACTATGCTTGGATAGTACGACAGTGCAAGAGTGAAGAAAGATGCTTTGTTCTGTTTCAAGGCCTACCGGTACCGGTATATTCGCTTAGGCGATGGTATGGTCAGTTCGCTCCGGTCAGCCTCGTGGGATAAGACATGCGGGCTGAATTGGTCATCGCTATTTCCTCAATGCCTGCATGTGTAGGATGCCTAACAGCTCAGCGGACACACGTGATTGTTTGTGTATCCAAAGCCGTTCGCTCTTAGCATTTATCACGTCACAAGTGGTCACTTTCAAGGACGCCTCAGGCAGGCCACATGGCCATGGGACCGCCGAGAGGTGGCATGGCGCTAACAACGGGGCACGTCAGCCCGCTGCCGCCCCTCGCTGGTATAGAATACTACTAGCGTGATATTAAAAGTCACAAACCAATTCTACATTAACACTAAATTAATTACTTAGGGGTTTGAGTTAGAGTAAGGTTCGGGTTAGAGTAGGGTTAGGGTTACAGTAGGGTAAGAGTTATCAAATATCTTCAAAAAGTGCTCTCTCTATCTGATTATCTCTTAAGTCTCTATCTCTATCCACAGATTTAATTCTGAAATAACTTGAGAAGGAATTTAAATTAGGTCATAGACGGTTATCAGCTAAGCGCTAGTACTTAAAATACGCGCTAAGGTAATTAAAGCCTGGTAAACTGTAAGACAGTTCGCCGGTGGTTGCCCTATCTAGTTAGTAGCTAATCCACGCCACCTCTCGGTGGTCCCATGGTTATTTGGCCTGTCACCACCAAGTACGCCTAATTGTCTAATATTGTGCGCCTGAACAGCATAGCCCAGCCTAGTGTTGAAAACCAACTCGACTCAGAGGCAAAATAGGCCATATTACTCACCTTGATAATAGCCAATTCAGGTTTCGCACTCCGAGGCTGACGATACTTTCGTTGATGACGTACTGCTTTCGCCTTCGTCTTACATTTTCTGCTTAACCTCAGCCCACCCTCATTATACATGACAGATCACTATCTTCTACAGTTGTTCGTTCAAAGGAAGCCAGACACAATCTTCACGTGATCTTTGACTATGGCGCCCAACGCGCAAGAGAATGACCAGAAGGTCCACATTTCCCTTCACCTTAGCATCAGCCCTCCTGGCACACTATCCATCGATGATGCCTTCCCTTCCACACCTCTCAAACTTATCGCCACCATCAAACAAACTAAATCTCCGTTTCCTGATCGCGCGATTACCATCATGACGAAATATTCTTGTCTAGAAGTAGACACGCCTGGATCTGAGGGAGCATTTTTTAGTCGCGCTATGGCCTCGCCTCAAGTAACAGTCCCAGACCCAGGATGCCCAGCCCCAGAGCTGCCACTTCGACCCACCAAACGGGTTACCATCACACGTGTATCGGGCGATCCAGACTTGCTCAAGCGAGGAGAAGAAAACGGCTTCAGATTCATTACCATTCCGCCTGTTAGTCAAGGTCACGCAGAAGTGATGTGGGAGCTAACGCCCTCAAAACTGCTCCTGCGATTGGGAGATAAAGGCGAATCCTTAGAGGAGAAGATGAAGCGTTTTTTAAGACCCGGAGACACATACAAGATTGTACCTGACAACTTGCGAATTCAATGGTGGACCTTCGGCTCACTTGACGGCGGAGACGGAATCGGAAAGAAGAAGATCGCGCGCTGGAGTCTACCAGACGATCTGCCCCTCGTGCGAGAGCCAGGCCAGGACGAGACAGACGAGGTAGCACATGGCCTGCGAGACTGGATTGATTTACATGATGTCAATAAACTGAGCTCTCGCAGTGCCGTTGAGAATGAGCAAAAACCTGACATTGCAAGAATGCGTTCTGAAGGTTGGGTATTTGGTGAACCTAAGACGGGCTTGGTAATGACAGCCGAGAATCAAGAACATGGAGCTCAATTCACTGTTGTTAGTGATAAGTAATCATTTGGTTAGGTTTACGATCAATGACATATACAGTATCAATGTCAACGTGTTTGGGGCTGAAGCATGCAGCTGATTGTGGCTACTAGGCTGTCAATGAATGGGTTGAGTGAGTAACATCTGATGAGGCGGGATGCCAACTTTGCTGGCTTCAACTTACCGGTGTTTCCAATCTTTGACTATAGGCTTGTGCGTCCTACACTAATTGTGAATAATTCCGTACGATTGACCGTAATCAGGTCATGGTCAAACTGATATTACCACGGTAAGTCAATACCCTCACAAAACGACTGAGATGCTGCTGTGTTACGACATCTTGATCACACAAGTAATCCACGCGCCAGAGTTCGAATCAGTTCATAGACAAGTAATTCATGTGGTAATAGCTGCTATTTCATAACTGAGCAGTCGTATCATAGATATTGCTAATTACTATCGCGGCTCTCTTAAAAAAGGATATTACTGATCCTTTGCTCCCCGGATGTGGAGTGCTGGGTCAGCTCAAGGTCAGCTTCGCCAAGCGATAAGATGAGTTGCATTTAGTGGTTTCATTTAGTCTTGCCTCAGCGTTAGCACGAACATTCTGTGCTTGCGAAAAGGTAACATACTGTACTCAAAGTTGCCGTCGTTATTACTGATACGCTCGCCCAGGTTGATGTCCCGGGTCTCGTGGTTACCCTCAGCATCAGAAAGGGACGCCCGGAGAACGGCGGCCTCGCCATCAGCCTCGATAGTGAACTCGATGTCCTGAGCGGAGTGGGAGAAGTTCTCTCCGTCCCAGACAAAGTTACCTGAGCAAGTCAAGATTAAAGATTACAAAGGACTGTGATTGCTCTACCATCGACGTTGCCAATGTGATTGTTCAGATCAATCTCAGAATCATTCAACTCGCCTTCGGCGTTTCGGAGGCGGGCCCTTAGGATGTGACCATCGTCGATGCGGATATCTTCAGCGGAGTGTTGGAAGGTCATGATGAGTTTTCGAAATCGGTTTGATTGTGAAGTGAGAAGAGTATTCAGGTTAAGTGAGACTCTCCAGCAGCAACGTGAAAGCACGAATGTGGCTGTTCTGCACAGCGCGG